GCAGGCTGTGACTGAATAAGTTTGGGGTGAAAACGCAGACAGTGCAGTAGAGGAGAAAGTGTTGGCGCTTGCTTCCGCAAGTGTGTGTGGGTTCATGTGATCACATATGAGCCTTCTTCTCTTTGAAGACTTAACATAATCCGGGTTGCCAGATTAGAGCAGGTGTCAGAGGGCTGTGAGCCACAGGTTGCCAGACTGGGTTTCGGCTAAGTGAAGTCTGTGGGATCCTGGACACTGATAGACAGAGCAGATAACTGTAACAGTGGCAGAGAGGACAAGAAGGGGATTTGGAAAGCTACTGTTGACCTCTGCTGATGAGGTCAAGCTGTTCATTAAAGAAATCGTGGCATGTGCCTTTATCAGTCTTTTCCAGTCCTGTCCTCTGATCCCCTTTATCCGCCTATCCTTCTGTCTCACCGGCTTTCATGTTGTAAGGAGGCCACACACACACACACAATACCGGCTATCACACACAAAGACCTTGGCTTCTTCCACTGTTCTCTGCCCTGTCGAACATTGTTAGAGTACATATTCACACACGCATATTCAAAAGCACTTTACCCACCCACACACCTCAGTAAAACAACCTTGCTTAGAGCCCTAATCAAAGCATCAGTGTAATTCAAACCACTCCTCTCTTACCCTAACATCCCTCACAGTCACCTCACTGCAGTGCACCGCTCTGCTGCAGAGGCTACAAAGGGCACAAAAGGAAGGATGGATTAAAGAAAATATGAAGAAAATGATTAAAAAACATTGCAGCAGTGTAGTGCAAAACTCTTCAACTAGGCTACATCTGTGTAATCATGACACCTTCATTCTCATAGAAGCTCCCACTCTTCAAATCTAGCATAAGCAGAAAGCAAACATAGATGTAAATTTAGTAAGCTTTTAGGCCAGCCAGGTGTTAAACACTCATCATACAGCAAGTCCTCTACAACCTTACATCTATGAGAGGCGTATGACTGAAAGCGCCCATCTTTTCCAGGCAGCTGAAGTACGTTTGGAGCTTTTTTGAAACTGAAAGAGAGTGAAAGTTCCTCCTACACAGGGCAGCGGGACTGCAGATATGATAGCTTGTGATGGAGTCAAAAAACACTCCAACTGCTGTTGTGACTGCTATTAGACAAATTCAGGTAAAAAAAAGTCTTCTTGTACTACAATTCCAAAACTCTTGCACCTAGTTTGTGCGTGCCATCTTAAACAAAGTACCCTCCTACAAACATAGATCACATAGAACTACCAAAATCCAAAATATGCTTTAAATGTCAGCTGTTAAACTTGGACTTTGCGGACTTTTGCATTTAAATGAAACCAACAATAAAGGTGTTCACTGCACATCTAACATAAAAAAAGAAAATATAAAATAATATCTGTGAAGTTCATGGTTGCAGTCCTCTGGCAACCAGGATGAAGAGTTCAAGTACAAGTTGCAGTTTCTAAAAGTTCCAATAATTTTTCCCAGTCAAAATGAATTTGAAGCACAGCGGAAACACGTCCATGTCTTTGATCTGAATTAAAGCTTTCTGATGAAACTATGAGTGTAAGAGATTGAGAAATGCATTAGAAAATATCAGGTCAAAGGTCAGATTTAGATAATAAAAACGTCCTGGGTCCACACATTCCATCCAGAGGCTTTAAAGGCATTTAAAGCATGTGCTTCTAAAGCTGGGTAGAAGCTAAGGACAATAATGTTAAGGAAACTAAAAACACCACCTGCATGTTAAATCCGCTCACATTGACTTCTGAGTCAGTGCTGAGTGAATTAAGCAATTATGGTGTGTGTTTTGTTTTGTCTTTGCACTTTGTTAAATCTTCATAAACTATTGGGTCACATACTATTGGGTCCTGAGGGGTTACTTAATCTCAAACATAAAGACCCTGCACACCACCGCTATACCCACACGTGTCATTTATTTTTCAAAAATAAATAAATCACTTGGATATCCGGAGACCAATAACGCCAGGTATCTAATTCATTGTCAGCCCCATTAAAAGGAATTGCGGGAAATCTTTGATGAAAATCATTAACTTGGAGTATTTTGATTGAGCTCGCGTCCAAAGACATCAAACACTTTATATGGAACAGACATTTTTGTCCACTGAACCCAAATCCTTCCTAATGTCAAATGCCTTCTTGGTGGGACACTAGTCAGCTGCAGTAATGTGAGAGGTATATTGTAGTATACATTTACACTACATATGCTCAGGGTGTTATGGCTCACACCCTCCGCACACCAGATCTCTGCTGATCTAGAAAGCTAAGTATAGGTGTGGCTCATGTTATATTACTTGAATGGAAAAGTGCCCATTAATACCAGTCCCTGTAGGCTTGGGGTGCTTTGGCTCAGGAGTGTCTGAGTTGTGAACCACAGCCCACCAAGCCGGTTGGTTGTCTACAAATGGAAATGTTGGTGGTTCGATCCTCGGGTTTTCTAGTTTATGTAATGAAGGATCATTGGCCAAGATATTGCATCCACTTTGTGCCTGTCATAGTAGGGAAGTGCTTAAGGCATTGAATACAGCACTTGTGAATGAGACTTTTAGTTAGAAGTACTTTGTTTATTCAGCTAGAGTAGAAAGGTGTTATATAAAAAGTATCAGTCTACTTAAGAGAAACAGTCAAATGCATCTTTATATATTAAAAACTGTGTAATTGTGTGAAAGATAATCAGTTTATCAGGCAATTGGTGACAAATGCATAAAAAAACAAGGTGCAAAAGATGAGATTTGCAGCCTTAGAAACATTGTACTTCTCTTTATACCTGTATTTTTGCATTTGTTATTTCTGTGATTTTTCACACAGATAACCCACTGGAACAGTATCAATGTCTCTCTGCAGAGATATTCTGACGATGTGTGTTGTTCGGCATATTTTAAATGATATCTCATCTTCCTCCCTCTATGACAGTCCGCCTTTTACTTCAATTCAGTCTGACTGTGAACACTTTTGATTTCCAATCTGATCGGTCAGCATGTCTTAATAATTCAATCTGGGAGCCTATATCACTGCTACCAGCAAATGTGACTGAGAAAATCTTCACCATCTTTAAAACTAAAATACAAAAATACATTTTTTAAACAGTTATTTTGCTGTCAAGGTGTCAGAATCTTAATAATGCACTCTTGCTTATCTTGCTTCATTTCCACCTCCTATTTTGGACAAAACAGGTCATCAATGTTGTAGATGTTTTAAATCCAAATTAAAATTTTGGTATTTGTCTTTAGAACTCTGTGGGTGTTGTAAATTATCCAGACTCTGTGTGTTACCAAAGATTATTTCTTAGAAAAATAATAGCTGTCTTGATCTGTTCTTTATTTGATTTAATGAATTTGTATCAATGGAGATCAATCCATTGTTTTACTACCAGGAGCTATTATATTGTTGTCATTTGCATGTGAATGGAACCACAGGTTCGTATTGTTGGATTACTATAAATATTATCAAAAGATGCAAAACTCCTTTTTAAAAATGGTTTCCATAAATGTTTGCGAAATCAACATCAATATTAAATATATTGCAAACAGAAGATTAATTTGTGATGTTGAATATTTCACTTTTTGTGAGCAATTCTACTTATTTTTTTGATCAGTATCTTCACAGTGAAACTGAAAATTATTTAGCTTCCAAATCTAGCTTCTGAAATAGAGTCTTGAAAGTGTTGTTGCTTTTCTTTTCTGTCTTGCAGAGTTACACACCTGTGCATCTGCCCACATAGTATACTTGAATGTGCATCTTTAACGTTAGGGCAGACTAATGATTGACCTTTTTTCCTTCTTCCTTTGCATGTGTGTCTGTCTGTGTTTCTTTTTCCTCAAATATATTTGGTGCTTTGATTGAATTATTAGGTTACCTAATGTAATGTGATAAATTGGCAAAACTGATTAGAAATTTAGTTTGTTCAAAAACTCCTCATTATCAATTTAATACATAATTGAAACTAAAAATTGCTTAATTATTTAAATCACTATAAAGGCAAAACCTTCTACACAAATTCACATTTTGTTCTTAAAATAAGTGCGCACAAACGATATATAACCCTATAATTCGTTGATATGTCCTTCCCTTCCCTGGGTTTTAGTGGTATTCTGTGTCCAAAGGTAATTGCTGAAGCAAATGTAGTGAAAGGCTGTGCCAATGCCCTGTGGAAATATTGAGCACATACATTACTGTAAGGAATTTTGAAGCTTACAGTTATACTTAAATGGATCATTACAGTCATACTTAAATGAATCATTACAGTCATACTTAAATGGATCAGAGCCGTCCCTAACAGTATTAGCTGCACTTGTACTTTTCCTGTCATGACAAGCCAAATTGTCTGCTGTTAAAGACGCCTGGTTACCTTTCGACATACTTCACTAACGGTAACAAGTGAAATATTCCTCCTCCTTAACTATTTGTAGGCTGAATCCTGTAGCCTGAAGCCTGAGATGACATTTTGTAAATGTTCAGATCACTTAGGGCTCTGCGCATCAACATATAAAAATATCAAAGATGTGAAAATGTTTTTGCACCTAAATGTTTCAAATCATTAAACAAATTTGAATATTAGACAAACAGAATTGGTCCTAGCACAGAACCCTGTGGAACTCCATAATTAACCTTAGTGTGTAAAGAGGACTCTCTATTTACATGAACAAATTGTAGTCTATTAAATATATATGATGGATAAATAGGGCACAAACCATGACTTTGGTCAGCACACTTATCAAAACTCCCCACTTGCCACCGTGGACATTGTTGCTGCAAAACTTTACACGAACGTCTTTTGGGGCTTCTACACTGCACTGATATCTGCACAATGAAACCAAATAATCTAACCAATAGGAAGAATGAATTATGTGATTACCATATCTACCTTTGAAGCACAGACAACACCACCCAACTAAAGTGATATTTCCACTTAATGCACAGACAAGAGTGGATGTCAGTTGAAACTAACCATGCAGTGAAATATTCACTCTGAGTAAAACCAGGATAAGTATATCCATCTTACCTTCCAGTGATGAGGAGGAAGAGAGTGAGGATGACAAGAAGAGTAAAACCACCAACCGCTGCTGTGACGATCACTAACACCTGGCCTTGATCAGAAGCCATGTTGGAGGCTGAAGGTAAAAGAAATAGTAGGAAAGAAAATGAGATGAGAAGGAAAATATGTAGCTGGGCAGAGACATTATGTGGGGAAAAGTAAAATAACATCATCATGTTAGAAACATGGAAAGCGGAGTAAGAGCGCTTAAAAAAGATAAAAACAAACATGGACAAATCAGAGGGAAGTGAGAGGATTTCAGCAAAACAATCATTCAGCATCATCTTCATTATTTCTTATCATCAGTGTAGTATGCATAGACCATGTAAGCTCTCTTGATAGGTAGATATTAAGAGACATGTTTAATCTGCTCTTCATAATGCAAGCAAACCCTCAGTTAACTTTCACACGGGAATGATTCATTTGCCTGCTGCTGTTTAATTAATATTATTCATTCATGAAATTGTGATTTAGTCCATGAACATTTGGTTAAATTGGACCCATTTGATATTCATGATTTTCCCTTTTCTGTGTCTTGTCACAAGGCTAACGAATCCCAGATAATTGAAAGATGATTGCTATTACCAAACTTATTTCTATAATATTTCATGCTTAATGAATATGAATTGGAGATCTGGGTGCGTGGTCGCTAGCCCAAAGAGCGAGCCTCATGTGGGTTAATACATTAAGTGCGTGTGTGTGAATAGAGCCAAGAGCACATATGTGAACGGAGGTTGTCGAGAATATGTGTGTTTTGGTTGATAAAAATAATTACAGTCTATTTAGGGGATGGTAGAGTGAAAGTGGCGGTGGTCACATGACACAAGGCAATTTTCCTAGTCCTAAGCTTCACATCACTAACTAAACAGATGTGTTGGACTGATGCTGCTGTAATGAGGTGTGCACAGGGAGAGAGGGGTGGCAGAGGAGGGGATGAAAAATGCAAGGTGAGGAAAGGGATGACAGAAATGACAGACAGATACACAGACGGATGGAAAACCTATTGCGGTGACAGTAGCTGACAGGCAGACAGACAGACTGACACAGAAGGAGAAAGCGACAGGGGCCAAAACTGCTTTTTTTTTTCTTTCAGATAAAAGGCCAGGCAGTACAAAGGCTTGGCCAAGCACTCTCTGATCCACAGATAAAGCAAAGCTCTGCAGCTTTGGAAGGGAGAGGGCCACTATGAAGCCAAATCACCCCTCAACAATACCTGACCCAACATAAAAGGGCATCTGGACCTTTGTATTTTATGAGTAGACTTGCAATAAAGCACCTACTCACACATACACACTGGGAGAAAACATTGATTCAGAGTACACCAAACATCAAGGCTGTTTTGTCAGACTCCCCTGTTGATTGTATTCAGTTTTTCGATCGCCGTTGCAAGTGACATTCTGACCTTTTAGGCATTCAGGGGTTGTGGTTTCAACCTATATGAAATTCACACTGCAGAGATGCCAAATGTTCACATTGTAGTTAAATCCATGTCTACTCCATCGTGTGTTTTCTATCCAGGTGTAGTGGCCCTGTGTTTGGGATCACTGTCATTTTGAAAAATGAAGCCACTGCCAATCAGATGGTTTCCAGATGGTATTCCACAGTGGATCAAAATTTGATTCACTTTATTTTTCTGTGCTTATTATTTCATCAATTTGAACAATTTAACAAAATCACGACAGAGCCTTCTCTGTGTTTTATAGATGGCTGTAGACATTCACTGTTATCTCTCTGATGACCTCCTCTGTGCATAATGACGATGATTTTCAGTCCCCTTCTTGTGTAAGTTAGCAAACCTTAGCTAGTCTCCTCAGTTTCTTTTTCTTAAGAATGGCTTCTTGAGAGCCAGCCTTTTACTGAGACCATTTTTGATGAGGCTTTAGTGATCAATAGATGGATCAAGGAGATGTTGCACAGCATGATGAGAAATGCCAAGTTTTTAGCTAGTAGCTCTCAGGGAAACACCTCTCAAGACTCAAGACTTTTGCACCGCACTGTATATACATAGGAAATAAGAAGGCATTTAAAGATCGAGTATTGTAAAGAGATGTTACTGCTGTTATTCCATGTTTAAACACAAAAATCAAACTTGACCTGGAACTATAATAACTGTAACTACAGGCTGATTGGAGGGGAAAAGAATATAATATATTTATAAAGCAACAACAAAAAATGCTCATGTTGTTGTACTGAACTGACAAATAAAAACTGTACTTCTGACACCGACATTTCCGATAGATATAACTGTGCCTAATTGGGAACCAGGCGACTTCTAATTAGTAGCTGTGAGATATGAAAGTGGTGGTGTTATGTGTGGAAACTTGAAGGTGGTCTCACATCCAGGTTTATTATTTGCTGTGGCGCCTCTGATGTAGGCTGCCTTAGGTGCTGCTTGAGGCTACATGAACTACACTTGAACCTGAGCTGCTGGTTGCAACTAGCATCTTCAATCGCCGACTTACCGTCTTGAAGATGAGCAAAAACAACACATTATTTAGAGTTGAAAATATATTTTTCAATATTAAACCTGATTTTCTCAGACTGAATGACAAATTATTATTGTCATGAAAAAACCCTATTTTTTGGCCTTACTGCAGTACAACAAATAAATACTGTAGATTGTCTGAGGTACTTACAGTCTCCTGTAGTTTCGTATTCATATTTAGGAGAGTAGGAGCTGTATCCGGCAGCTGTTCGGGTGCGCACGCTGAAGACGTACCAAGTTGCTGGTTTTAAACCCGAGACAATCACACTGGGGGCTTTGGTGCGTGTCGATGAGTAGCTCAGCAGCTCGTGTTCCTGTGGGGCAGAACAGAGGGATGATCAAAAGTCTCAGCATTGCGGAGAATATTTTGACCAAGTTTTAAAAGATACATTTGTCATTGATATTTTTTCAAGCAGTGACAAATACTACCTTCCAGCCACATTGTAGTGATGGAGAGCTTGTAAGCTCTTTTGATCACTTTTAGGAACAAATATTACAGGCAGTAAATCATTCGTATGACACATTTGTACTGCTGAGATGTTCTACAAAGTTGCCTTTTCTTGTTAAATTAATGTTGTGAGCTTAATAATTCACCGGAAACATGACATATTCCTCTTGAGAAGTGATATATCTGCCCTTTGAATCATATGCTGAGTATTTTAGTACCTTCTCATAATATTTGACCTCGTAATCAATGATCGGGAGTGCTGTCTGTTCAGGTTGCTGCCAGGAGAGTGCGATGCTGTTTGGAGAAGCCCAGTCCTTCTTTAAAGCCCCGACCAGAGACGGACCTGGTTTGTAAACACACAGACAGGTATCATTTTCAGTATGTTTACCCTCTTGGCATTGTTGAGAAACTGCTGCTGAAGACACTACATGCTATTGTACACAAAGTGCACAAAGAGTGTGTAACTATGAAGTGCAATGTGCCAAGACTCAGCAGCAGAAAATAATTTAATTAGCAAGCTTACTCTTTCACATGAATCACCATTCCCCTCCAATAAGTCTGTATTTCTAACAGTCCAATCTAGAATTTTGTTTTCTGTGCGGTCTCTTTGTGTGGTATATTTGAGAGCTATTTAGCCATAATTACATACGATTTTATAGATTTTATAGACTGTATTATCTATAGCCATAAAATCACATTAAAGAATTAAAGAATCAGCTAAACAAACAATAGAATTAAGCAGACCATTGAGGTATTCTTGATGTCTTTACTGTGTTTTTGTTCTCACCTGGATTGTTTATTCATACACCGCACTAATGACTGAAATCCTAATGGACTACACCAGAAATAAGTAAGTAATGCACAGAGTAAGTACACAAAAGTTTTGTTTTTCGGGAGCCCATACTTTTAAAAGCACTGATTCACATCAGCAACAGCTGTAGTTTATTCCAGTAAACAAGAATCTCGCTGAAACATCAAAGAACTGTCACATTCCCTAGAAAATCTTGGGGAACTGGGGAAGTAACAGTGAACACATCCGGAGTGAAAAAGTAAACAACAAGTCAAAAACTGAAAAAGAGTTTAATTTCTTTAATTAATAATTAAGTGTATAAGGCACTTTAGCTGCCTTAAAGGAAGAAATACTACAAAAACCTAGAAGTTAGTCAAAAGAATAATAGGTCAAAAATGTTAAATGATCAAAACACTCTCTGCGCCACTGAGCAGTAAACAATCACAAGCACACAGCTCAGACAGTAAAGAGAGTAACACTCTGATACTCAGGTGCTCCCACCCTGACCTTAACTACTCCTAGGCCTAATTACTGAATGGAGTCAGCTGAACAGGGCAGTACCTAAGGCAAGGACGAGAACAAAACACAGGCTGTATCCCAATTCAGGGTCTGCAGCCGTAAAGTGCGCATTTCAAGGCCGATTACGTCACAGTGGCGCGCCGAAGGCTGTCCCAAATCAAAGGCTGCTCGAAATGCGGCCCTGAAATGCGTCCTTCATTTCCCTGAATTTTAAGGCTGTGGCAGTGTAGACTTCGTGGCCCAACATATCCCAGAATGCATAGCGCAGTGGTGGGTGTGGATAATTTTGCCGAAAAAAAAACGGCGGATGAGGGGCGCCCGAAGAGTAAACTTTAAGTAAGTACTGAATATAATGTCACTTATTTATGTGCAAATGTTTAATAACTAAGAACATTAAAACATTACTGTTGGCCACATATCGGCAAAGTTATGTGATATTAGTGACGTTTGTACTAACTTGGTTTTAAAGCCTTTACTTTAAAATATACGCTGTTCAATAGCTGAGCTTAATCAGAGAATGATCAAAGCTCATGTAGAAACAAACAAACAAATGAACAAAAGATTTTCTCCTTCATTTCTGTCAAACAAAGCTGTATGACACGTTTCCAGTCGTTAG